TGGGGCGGCGCTCGTCCTTCGGATGGAGCTGGTCCCCGCCCCGCGTGACGTCCCGCGCGCGCCTCGGCCTCCGGGGTCCCTGCTAGGTCGCCGCGGCGCTGCGTGCAAGGACCGCCCTGTGGGGGCGCAGCCGGCCTGGTCCCCCGGGTGCCCACCGCGGAGCAGCGACAGCGGCCGTGTGCGGATGAGCAGGGCGCCCGCTCCGCCCCGACCCCCTCCGCCCCTGCTGTGGTGATCCCCACCTCGCCTCGCCACGTGAGCCCTCCGGGCAGGGCTGGGCAGAGCTGCGGGAACCGGGTGACCCGCCTGCAACAGCACAGCTCCGTGCCGCCAGGGATGGAACTCGGGTCCTTGCCCCGGGCATGCTGAGGGTAGGGTGTGTCTCTCCCGCGCCTGGAAAAGCCAGCTCCAGTGTCTGGGCTGGTGACAGAGACCTGGGGGAGATGCTCTGGCCCTCCTGGTCCCGCTGTTTTCCATCTAGGCCTTTGTTCCTGGGGCCAGGCCCCTAAATCTTGAGCTGGGGCTCGGCAGAACCCAGGCCCCTGCAGGGAGCTGGCCGGAAGAAGTGGCCCCGCTTCAGCCCAGCTGGCGTGGCTTGCTGGGACAAGAAGCTGGCCTTGGGGAGCCCTTCAGGGGCAGGGCCCCCTCACTTCCGTCCTGTCCCACAGGACCCCTTCGTGGCATTCCACGTTAACAAGGCCCTGGTGAGGAAGTACATGAGCTCACTGCTGATTGGGGAGCTGTCTCCGGAGCAGCCCAGCTTCGAGCCCAGCAAGAACGTGAGCCGCTGTGTGCTATGAGGGGTCTGGCTGGCGGGGAGGGCAGAAGCCGCCGTGGGCCACAGCTGACAGGCAGGGCCCGCCCCTCCCGCGGTGTCATGGGGTTGCAGCCCAGGCAGCAGGCAGTTGGACCTGAGTCTGCCGGGGCTGCCCCAACAGTGCCACTGCCACCGGCCCCGTCCTGGAGGCCAAGGGTGAGCCCACGGTCCTCCCACATGCCAGAACTGGGGCTCAGATGGTTGCACCACCAGCCCAGGATTACAGGAGGTGACAGCAGGGGCTGCGTGTTCTGCTCATCCAGGCATGGCCCTGCAGTCACCTCGCCTGGGCCTGTGGGCAGCCCCAGACAGTCCCCCTCTCAGGGCCCTCTACCCCACAGGAGGCACTGACTCATGAGTTCCGGGAGCTGCGGGCCGCGGTGGAGCGCATGGGCCTCCTGAGGAGCGACCACCTCTTCTTCCTGCTGTACCTGCTGCACATCCTGCTGCTGGATGTCGCCGCCTGGCTCACCCTGCGCGTCTTCGGGACGTCCTTGGTGCCCTTCCTGCTCTGCGCCGTGCTGCTCAGCGTGGTGCAGGTGCGAGCCGAGCTCGGCCCCTCTTTGCAGCTGCTGGAAGTTCTCTGCAGCGTGTCTTGTCTCCCCGTGCCTCCCAGCCACGCTTCCGCCGTTCCCTCCTTCCTGTGGAATGGGATCGGCTTGAGTTCGGGTTCTGCCCAGCATGCCAGGAACCCAGCCTGGTGGGTCTTGGCTCCCGCCAGCTGCGACTCCATCCGGTGTGCTGACAGCGGCCAGGCACGGCTGTGCCACCCCGCGCTCCCCTCGGGTCTTCCTGGGTCCTGGGTGCGCGTGCGGCCCCACACACCGCACCTCCTGGCCCGTCCCCAGGTGCAGGCTGGCTGGCTGCAGCACGACTTAGGGCACCTGTCCGTCTTCAGCACCTCCACACTGAACCACCTGCTGCATCACTTCGTGATCGGCCACCTGAAGGTCAGTGGGGCCCTCCAAGGGCTGCCGGAGCCTAGGGAACACCGGCTTCCATTCTCGGGTCCCTGTTCTTCGTAGGGCGCCCCTGCCAGCTGGTGGAACCACATGCACTTCCAGCACCACGCCAAGCCCAACTGCTTCCGCAAAGACCCGGACATCAACATGCACCCCTTCTTCTTCGCCTTGGGGAAGGTGCTTTCTGTGGAGGTGAGCAGGGTGCAGGGAGTGGGCGCAGCCTGACTGCCCCAGGGGCTTGGGCAGGCCCTGCGCAGGGTCCAGCAGGAGCCCAGGCCGTGTAGTTCTAGGGAAGAACAGGCGGTGGCCAGGGCTCCCGGGACAGGGCCCTCTGCTCCTATAGCTGCACAGATGGGGTGACCACTCACTGAAAGGTTTGCTCACCCTCAGAGGTGCCGCGTGGACTCCCAGGTGCTTCCCGAGGCACCTCCCTGGGCAGGGGCCTCTGTAACATCAGTCGCTGGGTACAGTCGGCCGCCGTGTTCTTGGGCCCTGCCTCTGTAGGTTCTGGGTACTCAGAAAGAGGCAGTTGCTGCGTAGTGGATGTGTGTGTTTTCTCTTGTAACTTTTTGAGTGATGTTGGCATCATGTCGTCACGGTCACGTTAGGTGTCCTGCAGAGCTAGAGGTGTACAGTATGGGTTGGGGCCGGGTGTGGCCCAGGGGACAGCGCTTGCCCTGTGTGTGCTCTGTCCGGGAGCCCTGGCCCACGGATGCACAGCGCAGCAGGCTGGTTATGCCGAGGACTACGGCTTCCCGTAGGTGCGAGCCACGCCCGGGGAGCCTGGCCTGGATCCCATCCCGATGACCGACGATGGGGGCCGAGGCCATCTCCGCTTCTCCCCTCCCTCCTTTTTGTTTTTTTTTCTCCCCACCCTCCTGGCCTCTGTTGCCACCTGAGGTTGGGAGCGAAAGCCCTGCCCACTCACTGCTAAGGGAAGAGTGAGGGTCGGGGGGATCTGAGGGCCCTCAGTGAGGAAGCAGCAGAAGGTTCTCAATGACTGCAGAGTTCCTCAAAAAGTTCATTTAAAACCCTTGTCCTGTACTCTGCACTGCGGTCCGCCTCCTGCCAGGGCCCCTCCTCTGCCCGGGGACATTTCAGGTTGCCAGGAGCTATGCTGCCAGTGACCACATTTCAGCTCCAGGCAGGAGTTCAAGGTGGCCAGCCTGGCTCTGCTCCACGCTGGCTGTGAGTGGCTCTGGGGATGCCGTTGCGGTACTGACTGGCCTGGCACAGGGTGCTCGCGGCTCCTGCCCCGTGGTCCTGAGGGTTCTCCCTGCTGCTTGGTAGGGTGGCAGTGTGCCGGGTGTGCCCAGCAGTCCCCACCAGGTGCCTGTGCTGCCTGGAAGGTGGCATAGGTCATTTTGGGAACAGCGCTGGCCCGTAGCACTTGTGTGATCACCGAGGAGCTGGTTCAGGAGCTGAAGTGGAGGGAACGTTGTTCCCACACCGTGCTTCCCCTGCCACTTGGTTCGAGGGTTCTCAGGGAACCCCCGCTGCAACATCAGGATGCCAGCATCCTCTGGGACCCCAATCCATGGCTCTTCCTGCTGTGCAGTGGCTAGAGACCTGGCTGCTTGCTGGCCGAGGCTGGGGCTGGGGCTGCACGGGGTGCCCCTGCTGGCTACACTGGACAGTGGTGCTCTGGCTGCCTCCTCATGGAACCCAAGGCCAGTGTGACCTTCGAAAGCCAGGAGCGACATTACTGGGGTCACAATGGCTGTTGGCTGTCCCCCAACCAAGCAGTTCCCCACACCCCACCAACCCAGGCTGTGCTGCTCCCCCAGGGTGCCCTGAGCAGCCCTGATGGGCTCCCAAGCTGACCCCAGCTACCTCAGACCCTGGCCCACTGCCCACGCTTCCCTGGTCCACTGTGGCATTAATGTTATCCCCTAGTTACTACGGACTGAGCAGGCAATCTCCCAAACCAGTGGACGGTGAAGGTGTAAATACATGAGACAAATGGAATGATTTCAGGACTTCACAGTCCGGGAGGTTCCAAACCCTCGATCAGAACTCAAGATTCTGGCTTTTAGACAAAGAACTTCTCTGGGCCACCTGAATTTATTAGGTTTCCAACAAAAAAGGGGATAAAGAAAAGGCAGGAATCTGGGCAGGACTTGGGAATCCCTCTAAGGACTTCTCCAAGTAATACATTATGTTAGTTTAGAAGAACTATGTTATCTCCAGGAAGGCCTTCACCACAGGAGTGAGAAGTCTGCAGCTGTGGTCTCCTTTAGTTAACTGGGGTTGGAGCCAGGTGTCCTCAGCTGTGGCCTTATCTTGTCCTTTGAGGCATCACAGCTTCACAGGCTGAAACAGGGCTCAGCAGGGACCAGTGACTCACAGAGGTTCACTTACTGTGAGTCCGTCGCCCATCTCCAGACAAGGGCCTAGGCCTCGGGCACACTCACGTAAACATTAAGCCAATTGCTTAATATTAAATCCTGCTCAGAGCTGCTTCACAGTGGGCTCCATCAGCCTACTTTATCGCTATAATAAAATGCCCGTGTATGGATAGAAAAAAGGCTGGATAATAGTGCCAGTGCTGGAGGCTGCAAGTCCAAGGTTGGTGGACCCACCACCCGACCTTTGGTTGTTCCAGGTAGGTGCCTATGGCTCCATGCCTGAAAGAGTCCTCCACCTTCCAGGCCTCTGATGTGTGACCACGAAGGACAGGCTGCCTCAAGCTGCCCTCTACTTGGGCCATCTCCTCTTTGTGGCTGCCGCCACTGCCTTGCTTTGTCCTGGGCCCTGGGCCCCACTATCATTTGGCCACCCCCAGCCAGGGGCACCAGGGAGCCAGAGCAGACCTCACCCCTGCCTCCACGGGGCTTTCTGCGCTCCTGGCCAGAACGCCCTGCCCCGGTGCTGTTTGGAACAGCGAGAGCCTTTGCCCCTGCCCGTCCTGCTGCTGTAAATGTCCCTCCCCTGAGTCAGGCCTGCGGGAGGACAGGGCAGAAGGTCGACCCTTGCCGTGTGGCTGCCTTGCCCTGTTGAGCTCTGTTTACTGATTCATCGCCAGCTTCCTCTGCCCGGGCAGGACATGCCATAGGATGGGGACTGGGCCCCCGCACATAGCAGTGACTGTGCAGAGTGGGAACTGAGGTGCTCGGGCTGGCTGGGGTACCTGAGAGCGTGAGCTGTCGAGAGCGGTCTGTGGACACAGTGGTGGGCTTGCGACTGGCCAGCGTGGCCTCTGCCCCGGGGTGAGCCTTGGTGCTGTGCCCTGGTGGCTGTCTGGTCCCCAGAACCCACTGGGCAAGGGACACAGGTGCCAGGGAGGGAGATGGCAGGGTGTCCATGGCCTTCGCCAGGTCCAGGCTGGCCAGCCAGGCCACTTCCACCTGTCCCTTCCGTTGCTGGGCCTACAAAATCCCCACCCCTGCTGGGGAGAAAACGTCACACGCACCTTCAGAAGGCCACATCGGCCTTGCTGGTCCTTGCACAAATAGTGCCACGCTTTGCCCAGCTTTCAGGGAGCCCACAAAGTTCATGTTAAAATCAAGAGAGCAGAAAACTAGGGACCCTGGATAACTATGGAGGCAGGACTTGGGCCCGTCCAGTGGAGAGATGCAGGGACAGCGGTAGTCCTGGAAGCCCCAGGCGGAGGACAGCTTGCAGTCTGCACCTGCGTCCTGAGGCCCAGCCCATGACGAGCTGCAGGGCGTCACCGTGCGGCCGTGGCCACAGCCACCCGAGCAGGAGGCCACGGCTAAGCAGGGAAGGCGCAGGCTGCGAGGTCACAATTGCTTTTCTTCACAGCTTGGGAAACAGAAGAAAAAGTACATGCCGTACAACCACCAGCACAAGTACTTCTTCCTGAGTGAGTGCCCCCCCAAGGGCCTGTGGGGAGTAGGGAGGGACCCCATCCAAGAGTGGAGGTCACGGTGACCTCCCGGGGCAGTCACCCCCCGGGGCAGATCAGCAGGAGGGGGACCGAGGAGAGCTGGGCCGAGGGGAACACAGGGCTTTGTCTGAGTTCTTTCTGGACATCACTGTCTCCTCCTTTTAAGCATGCTCCAGATGCCCCAAAGTGGGGCTGCACAGCTTTCTTTCGACTTTTTTTTTGTACTGGGAATCGAACTCAGGACCTCGTGCTTGCCAGGCAGGCGCTGTGCCCCTGAGCTGTATCCCCAGCCCTTGCACAGCTTTCAGTTTTCAGATTTGTAAAGGAAGGGAGGGGAGAATTTGGTTGCCTGCGCCAGGGAAGCGGAGGGCGATGGGAAGGCAAAGGGCGAGCAGACGCCCCTGGCTGCAGGGAGGGATGCGGAGGTGCGCAGGTGGGAGTGGCGTCTTCAGCCCACAGTGAGGAGCCACTCTGCTTCTGGCTGGTGACCTCTGGGCTGCAGGCCGGGGTGGTACAGGCTGCACACCCAGGTCTGAGGAAGTGAGCGCAGTCTGCAAGGAACCAGCGGGTCCCCGACACGTGCACGTGCACACCTGCGTTCCAGCCCCTGCCCGTGAGCATGTGCAGGGCAGCCAAGGGTGGCGGCCGTGGGTGTTCAGGGCTCGAAACGGGCGTCTCCCCTGGCTGGCATCTTGGCCCTCTGGCTTCTCCATGGTCACAGTTGTGCCCACCTGTCATGCTGGTATGGGCTGTGTTGAGGTGCTGAGGCAGCTGCTGGGCCGTCTCCACGGTGACCCTCTAGTGACCTCCTGTTGCTCACGCCGCGCCCCCTTCTTCCCAGTTGGGCCACCAGCCCTGCTGCCGCTCTTCTTCCAGTGGTACATTTTCTATTTTGTCGTCCAGCGGAAGAAGTGGGTGGTAAGCACCCGGGGAGCCCAGTCCTGTGTTCTCTGGTACCCTGGGGGCGGGGGAGGTTCTCCAGGGCAAACTGAGGCTGGCTGTGGCCCCATTTAGAGCAAGGTCATAGCCCCAGGGAAGGCTGCTCCCTAGTCTAAGTGCTTCACAGTAGCTTGGGCTCAGCAGCTCCCAGGTGTGGCCAGAGGCTGAGGTTCCAGTGTGTGTGTGGGACCTGAGCTGAAGCAAAACAGGTGATACCGGAGGGAGGTTCTGGGGACACAGGGGGTCCGGCGAGGTCTGCCCTGCGGAGTCCTTTTCCAGCCGGCCTCACAAGATGGCCAGGGGCTGACAGGCAGAGGGAGGTGGCGCCAGGTCGAGGAGTGGGGTTGAGGGGTGCGTGGCCCCTGGGCACAGTACAGAGACCTGGGTGTTACGACAGGTGTGGACCTCTGAGCGGGCCGTGCGCGTGGGCCACAGCCCCGGGCTCCCTTGGTCGGCGCGGAGACGGGTGGGCAGGGGCTGAGGTGGGGACACCCGAGGGCCTGCAAGGGCACGGGCAGCCCTGGGGGCGAGGGTGGGAGGCGGGGCACGGAGGCAGCACCCCCTCTGCTCCCTGGGCCTGCAGGACCTGATCTGGATGCTCACCTTCTACGCCCGCCTGCTCCTCACCTACGTGCCGCTGCTGGGCCTCAGGGCCTTCCTGGTCCTCTTCCTCATTGTCAGGTATGCTAGTGGGCGTGTGGGGAGCGCCGGGAGTGCGGCACAGGTCAGCTCTCACTGCTCTGCGGTGCCGTCGCCAACAGGTTTCTGGAGAGCAACTGGTTCGTGTGGGTGACGCAGATGAACCACATCCCCATGCACATCGACCACGACCGCAATGTGGACTGGGTCTCCACCCAGGTGAGGCCGGCCCAGCGGTCCAGGGCCTCTCCCCCGCCACCTGCTGGGGAAGGCTGGGCCAGCTCAGCCCACACGGGACCCCTCCTTCCTGCAGCTCCAGGCCACCTGCAACGTGGAGCAGTCCTTCTTCAACGACTGGTTCAGCGGCCACCTCAACTTCCAGATCGAGCACCAGTGAGTGGAGGCCGGCGGGCGGGGCCGGGTGGGGACCGGGGGGCAGCGCAGCCTCTGACTCTGCTCTCCCCAAGCCTCTTCCCCACGATGCCACGGCACAACTACCACAAAGTGGCACCGCTGGTGCAGTCCCTGTGCGCCAGGCACGGCATTGCGTATCAGTCCAAGCCGCTGCTGGCCGCCTTCGCAGACATTGTGCAGTGAGTGAGGGGACAGAGCTGGCGGGTGTGGGGTGGAGGTCCCCTGCAGGGGCGCTGCCACCTGTCTGCTCCTCCTCACTCCTGCCCCATATCCCTGCAGCTCGCTGAAGGAGTCCGGGCAGCTGTGGCTGGACGCCTACCTTCACCAGTAGCAGCATCTCCTGCCCGGCTCTTGTGGAAGAGGAAGTGGGTGCCTAGGGACACGGGCACGCCACTGCGCCTGGGGCTGGGGGCTGGGGCACAAAGGCGGGAGCGGGAGTCTGTGTTGTTCTTTCCTTTTGGTACTTTACTTGATGCAGGTGGGTGGTGAGTAGTGGGGACCAGGAAGGGGTCGGAGCGGGGTCCTGCTCCCCAACAGACTTCAGGGCCAGAGTGGCTGCTACCCTGAGAGCTCAGGAGGGGACCAGTCCCTCCCCGCCCGGTGCTCGGGTCTCCACCAGGCCCCCATGCCTGCGTCTGCAGTGCAGGCACAGCTGATGAAGGCCAGGGCTGTCCTCGGGAGACGTTTGGCCCTCAGGACCCAGGCGCTGCTGGCGTCAGTCTAGGGGGTCCCTGAGGCCCCCGTGGAACTGCAGGTCCGGTGTAGCTGGCTGTGAGAAACCTTTCTCTCCGCTTACCTCTAACCACGCCCCGGATGCAGGACTCACTTCCTGCTCCACTAGAAGTGAGCAGACAGTGTGACTGGACCCTGCTCTGCTCCCTCCCCAGGAAAGGGGCTCCAAGTGGTTCCCTTTGCTTCCCAGACTGTTGCTCCAAGTTAGAAGGTGGCGGTGAGCTCCTGCACAGGGCCTCGGGCTGGGAGGTGTGAGGCATGAGCGGGTGTGACGTGCACGCGGGAAGTGGCGCTGCGGCGCCGCCGTCCTGCAGGAGCAGAGCATCCATGGGTCACTCCAAGTCTTAGGTCAGGCGAGAAGGCTACAGGCACCAGCGTCTGTGGCCTCACTGCGTCTTCCTGTTGGCTTCTGTGCCAGTGTCTGAGTCTTCAGAGACCAGATGGAAATTTAGGATAACTTCTTAAAATATTCTAACACTGAAAGTCACTTTTTAACTGTTCTGATTCGCGAAAAATAAAAACAGTTGAACTTGTCTTTCCAGAAGGGCTGAATATGCCAAGGGGTCTCCCCAGCGTCTGTGGCTGCCATCCAGCTCGCACCCTTCCCGCCCAGCGCAGCCTCTGGTCTGGCCTGGAAGGCAGAAGCAGGGTCCGCGTTGACTGGGGCTGGCAGCCGACAGGAGCAGGGTGGGTGCGCACGGGAATGGGGTGCAGACGGCCTGTGCCCAGGCTGGGGTCTCTGAGATTTGTAAGCCAACCCAGAGAGCCAGGGGCTGCAGATTTGGGCCGCCTTGTGATGGCTCTGCTGGACAACCTGCTTTAGGACCACCAGGCCGGGGATGAGCACCAGAAGCTGTGTCAGTGCTCACCTGTGCCCATGCCTCACTCCAGAGAAGGTGCTGTTGACCCATCCTGGCCCTGCAGCCTCAGCTGTGAACACGGCATCGCCAGCCTAGGATGCCAGCTGGCCCCGGCCCTAGCCACCTGACTGACCAGCGAGTGCCAACGCCAGGCCTGGTGCCTGAACTGCCGTGGCCTGCTCAGTCTCTGCGGTGTGGGCGCACGTGGCCGTGAGGGATAGTAGCAAGACTCAGGACGTCCAGTGCAGAGAGGGACCCTCAGTCCACAGGCAGACAAGAAACTGCTCAGAGGCTGCTCCCCGTCCTGCAGGTGCGGGTGGAGGCTGCCCGTCCTTCCAGCTGTTTATCATCCCGCTTTCCCCACTACCAGGCCAGGGCGTTTCCACGCATCAGGCCCCAGGCCAGGGTCTGTCATGTGCCAACGTTGTTACCACATCGTGGTGGCGTAAAGCGCCCTCTGTACACACCTCAGACAGAGGGGCTGGGAATTCGAGTGACACCGGGCCAGGGCAGCACCTGGCAGGGCAGAGAGCCAGGTCCTCCCCAGACCCTGCTGCCCGGGGGCCAGGCTCTGTGCGCCCTCACAAGGCTGTGCCCTGGCCCGTTCTCTGGTTTTCCCTTTGGAGTCAGTCTCCCTCGACCTGAAATCTTTGCTGGTTTCCCGTGGTCATGCCACCTAAGCCCAGTGCTGGGCACAGATGTCACCATGCCTCCCCACCTGCTGTCAAGCGGAGAGGCACCTTCATGCTCTGCACAGAGGTGGCTCCCCAGGGCCTGTGTGGGCAGATGGCAGCTGTACGGGGAGCGCCACGTCGGACTCAAGTTGGGAGACAGCGAGCACTCCCCACGCTTGCCTCCTCGGGAGCAAGCCCCTCACTGGCTGTCTGCTAGCTGATCACACGCAAAGCCCCTTTCCCCTGTGGCATGCATTCACCCAAGCTGAATCAGAGATCAACATCAATACGTTTTTAAAAACTGTTTAGAGCTCAGTAAATTTCGTGGCTCCATTCCATCCAGGAAAGTCTGCCTCATGTACCTGCAGTAGAGCAGTAACCAAACTGTTCCTGCCCCCACAGCAGAGTTCTGCCTCCCTCTAGCTTTCAGAGTCCCCTGGTTAGGGGCTTCCTGGGGAGACTCTCCTGCCTCAGCTGCAGGAGTGCTTTCACCCTGGATTTCACCTGGAAAATTACTTCATCCACAGGTTTGAAAACTAGAGGTGCTTTCCTGTTTCAAGGTGTTTTCGATCCAGATTTTGGACACTTATTTTCAATTTCAGATGGCAGTGATGGGGATGCTAAAGTGTTAGCCAGTCCCCCACCACGCGCTAGCAGGGCTTTCAGCAGAGGGCAGGAAGGGTTTCACATCCACACAAATCACAGTTAACTTTACCCTTCCGCTTTGCACCACCAGGATGTGGTAACAACGCTGACACACACGACAGAGTTACAGCCACAGTTACACAGCTTTCTCAGGGGAGGCCCTTTACCTCTTACAGGGTAGGTGGGACATCAGAAGTCCATTGAATTTATTAAAACTTGCAGCAACATGAACTAGGTGTCCTCTTCCAGAAGGCTCACACAAGCTGCTGCGGTCTCATACGGGGCATGGCGCCACCTTGTGGCCACTTGGCCCCTGGTCAACAGGGTGACCACAGCATGTTCCCTACAGTGGGAAGGACATCACTACCCTGAGAATTTTCAACTGTTTGTGAAGAACATCACATTCAGGATACTTTTACCATTTTATTGATTTTTTTTTCCCATTCACATCTAAAATAAAAACAGCATAGGAAACCAGTGTTTAATCCCAGTCTTAGTCAACTGCCCCAGAAAGACTGGAAGAGCATGCCACCTTACTCCTCTGGGAGCGGCGCCTTCACACATCGCCCAGCTGGTCACGTGCCCGCCACCTCAGGATGCAGCCGGGGGTCCAAGCCTTGTTCCAAGCGCAGGGCCTCCTACTCTCTCCGCTCTTCCTTCTAGGCTGGGTCGAGGGAAGGCGGAGCAGGAAAGGAGTACAGCGGGGTTCTGCCATAGCCTCCTGAGGGCCCCTGGCTGGCCAGCCGAGAAACCATGTCCCCGTGTGGTCCCTGCCACTTCCCTCCCTCGTCCTGCTTTAAGACATGCTGCTGTCACCGTCACTGTCCCGTAACATGGATCCAGTGTCCGCCGAGAGGTGGTTTGAGCCTGACACTTCCCTGAGCTACATATAGGAGGAAGCAGCAGCTGGGCAACCTTCCCGCACGCCGCCAGTGTCAGGGAAGCACCAAGAGGGGTGGCGCAGGTGCTTCCCAGCTCCGGCTTCTGAGGGTACAGGAGGCAGGCACTCAGGTCAGGGGCGCCACGGCTTTATTTCCCCCTTTTGAACTTCCCCACCGCCCCCGTCTTCGCCTTCTTCTTCGCGGACCCCTTGGGCTCTGGCTCCTTGCGTTTGGCTGAGGACAGCGAGCCGGTCACCTTGAAGAAGTCATCCAGGCGGCCCTGCGTGCTGCCCTGGCGGCTCCTGCTCAGCCGCCGGACCCCGCTGCGGATCCGCTCCTCGGAGAACTGCTTCTCGCTGCACAGGAACTTGACCAGCTCCTCCTCGTTGGGCTCGCTCCACTTTAGCTCCACAGACTCCGGGTCCAGCACCTCGGGCTCCAGGAAGAGCTGCTGCGCCTCCTTGTGCAGCCAGTTCTCCGGCACGGGGTACTTGCTGGGGTCGAGCCGCCGCACAACCTCCTCAATGCTCTTGTGCTTCTGGATGAGGTCCACGGCCCGCTTGGGCCCGATGCCCCGGATGCTCTCGCAGTAGTCGCTGCCCAGCAGGATGCACAGATCCACAAACTGCTCCTGGGTCAGGCCCAGCGCCTGCAGGACGCGGCTCAGATGGAACTCCTGGATGGGCAGCTTCTTGGCCTCACTGGCAGTCAGGTGCCGCATGAGCACGGGGCTGCCGAAGGTGAGGCAGTCCATGTCCTCGGTGGCCGCGGCGTAGACCTTGCCGGCCTTCGCCAGGGCGGCACAGCTGGCTTCCGCCTCACTGGGGGCGTCGAGGTACGGGACGCCCATGAGGCTCAGCAGATGCTTGCACTCCTCGTTGTGCTGCTTCGTGACCTTCACCAGCCGCTTGGTGAACTTTTCCACCTCTTCCTCCATCCCGGCAGCCTGGGCCTGCTGCAGCTGCTTCTCCGCCTCTGCACGCCGCTCGCTGCGCCTGGCCAGCTCGCCCGACTTGAGCTGCGGCGGTTTGCCATCGAAGACGTACACGGGCTTGATGCCGTTCTCCATCATGCGGATGGTGCGGTAGAACATGCCCATCAGGTGACTGGTGGTCTCCCCCTCCTCGTTCTGCAGCACCTCTCCCCCCTGGCGCACCGCGATCAGGAACTGGTAGATGCTCATGGAGGCGTCGATGGCCACCTTGCGGCCAAAGTAGCTCTTGATGTCATTCTCCCGGATGGCACCGGGGGCCACGTCAGCAATTAGCTTGGCCAGGCCTTGAATTCCCATGGCTAAAAAAGGGAAGAGGAGCAGAGGAGAGGCTTTAAGTACCTCACAGTTTACACCAAGTGTCGCTGGGCAGGTGTCATTTCAGCCAGTTGATTCTCATATTGAATAAATCTAATGAAACTTTTTTCTATTTCCTATTATAAAATTAACAAAATATGCAATTTTTGGTCACCCTGTATTTAAACAATCCCACTGGCAGGTGTTAAATTTTGTGCAGGAGTGAGGGTTATAGTTGGTGCTATCTCACCAACTTGCTGTTTAACCAATTAAGACACCAAGTCAGCACATGAAGATGGAAAGATCAACAAGACAAGATCCCCCATTGTGGGGAAGAAGTTCCGCAGGACAGTTCACTCAATACTGAGGCTGGGGCTGAGGCTGGGCATGGTGGTGCACGCCTGTAATCCCAGCACTCTGGAGGCTGAGGCAGGAGGATCACCGTGGGTTTGAGGCCAGCCTGGGCTACACAGTGAGTTCAAGGTCAGGCTGAATTGTATAGTGACCCTGTCTCCAAATCCCCCCAACAAAACCTAAGGCTAAGTACATATGAGGAGCCAGTTTGATGCTTACAGGAATTACACACTGAATATTCTTTTTATCAGCTAAGCAAATGTGCCTGCTGCCTGCTCTGTTCCATTTAGAGAACTCTGAGAAGGTGAATATAACCACCTTGTCTCACACACTGCTTTAATCTGCCTTTCAGCACCCCCACCACACAGAGTTTCTACTTTCATCGGGATGTTGCTGGGATTTTAGGTCTTCACCTCTGTATTTTATCTCCACCAGTGAGGTCCTACCCCTCCCTCTTCCTGGATCTAGGGGCATGCATGTTTCAGTCACCTGGCCAGCCTGAACTGCATAGTGAGACCCTGTCTCAAAAAGATAAAAATAATAAATAAAAGTAAGTTGAAAAAGAAAAATGCATCTTAGGCAATGATATTTATATCAGTTATATTTTAATATGTGCTAAATGCATAATTATTTAAAAAAAATTTAGGCGGGCAGGGTAATACACGCTTGTAACTTCAGCCACTCAGGTGGCTGAGGCTGGAGGATTACAAGCTTGAGCCCAGCTTGGGCAACTTACTGAGAGTCCATCTCCACATCAAAAAAATGTTTAAAGGGCTAGGGACGGAGCTCAGGGTGAAGACCCTGGTTCCATCCACAGCACTGCAATAAATACATGGTTTTCAGCGTGCAACTTAAAGGCGTCTGGTCAGCCTGCTGATGGCACCGGGCCACACTCCAAGGGGTCAAGGTCTTTCAGGCTCCGCCGCCCAACAACCTGGGGGCGGGCCGCCCGCCTCTCCGGCCGCGCCGCGCCCTCGTCCGCCACCTTCCCGCCCCTCCGTCCCGGCCCGCCGGGAACAGCGGCGGCGAAGGCTGGGCCTCGGCCCTAGGTGCGGCAGCCGCCTGTGCGCGGTTACCAAGTCACTGACGCTCGGTTTGCTCGTGCGTACACTAAGGACGGCAGGCACGCCCGCCTGGCGGAACTCGGGCCCAGAGGGACGGCGACGACGGGTGGAGACGCCCCGCGCAGCCCCCGGCGCTCTGCAGGCGCCAGCCCCGCTCGGCGGCGGCGGGTGCACAGCACTGACCCCGCGCGAGGCCCGCGGCTGTCCCTCCCGCTGCGACAGCCGCCGCGAGGCCGCCAGGGTCCCGCACATGGTCCCAGCCCTTCTCGTGACGCGCCGCGCGCAGTCCGGCGGGAGTTACGGTCCCCGTCCTCCGAGAGAAGGCCCGGGCCCGCCGACGGCCCACGTCTCAGCCGGAAGGCGCGGGCCGGCCCGCCTGGGAAGCCGCGCGCCGCCGCCTCCAAGGCGACCCCGCACTGGGGTCTCACCTGAGCCTCCGCCGTCAGCGCTGGCCCGGTGGCGCCAAGCGAGTCCCGAGCCCCGCTCCTCCGAGCCCGCCCGCCGCTCAGTCTCGCTGCCGCCTTCCAAAGCCCGCGCTCGCGTCACGTGACACGCCCTTCGCGCACAGCCTCCCGGGAAGTGTAGTGCAGCTCGCACACCGGGTCAGCTTTCTCCGGGCACATAGGCCTGCTGAGGTGACGGTCTCTCCAAGAGCCCCGCCTCGGCCCTCGGCCCCTCGTGTCCCTACCCCGCCAACACTCGGCACCCCCAGGCCCAACTCCCCTACACCTCCTGAGGCCGCCGGACTACAAGTCCCACAATGCCCCTCGCGCTGGGCACTTCCTCTTCCGGCGCACACGGCGCAGGCTCCTGCCGACGTGTTCTTCCGGTAGCAAGCGGCGGCTTGGTCTGTGCTGGGCGAAATGGTGAGAGAGCTGGGGAGCCCCCGGGCTGCGAGGAGTCCGCCCCGCACGCCGCGTTCTCTCTTGGAGGTCTCGGGACCCAGCGGCCGGGGCGCTCCCGGGATCCCGGCTGGAGCTAGCGGGCAGAGGACGCCCTGGCCGTGGGCTCCTTGGGCGGAGGGCTGGAGCGCTGCGGTTTCCGCTGTCGCTGTTGAGAGGGGCGCGGAGCGTGGCGGGCGTGAATACCCGCGAGCGGGCAGCTCTGTCGCCTGTTGTCGCTGTCTAGAAAGTTGTCGCCCACCACCCGAGGTGATACCCAGGCCCGGGGCAGATGTCATTTCCCGGTGGAGCCCTGGGGCTCGCAGGTCCTGGGCCGCCGCCTCCCGGGAGCGCGCAGCTCCGCGCAGACCTCTCGCCACGTGTCGTGGGCGCTTTGTCGTCTGCCACGCCTCCTGGTGACCGCCATCTGACGCGCTGCTGGCTCTGGGTCGAGGTCTATTCATCTTTGTATTGCCAGCGCAAACACAGGGCCTGCGAGTGGAGGCCCCGTGAACGGCAGCGATTGTCTTTACTGCTTCCAGGGGGCGGGGGGCATATCATTGTTTACTGGGTTGAATTCCACTGTCTCTTAGAACAATGGGGTCCGTTTACTTCTCTAGAGTTGTTATGTTCTGGATCTCAGGAGCCCTGGCCGTTGGGTGACAATGGAAGTTAACATTTGTCCAGAACTTGACGTTTGCAGGCTTCTTTCACAGGCATTAGCTCATAATTGTCCCTGCGACCTAGGAAGAAAACACACACATCTATTGAGCATTTAAACTAGATGTGTCAGCATTCATCATCTTAAGTCAGACAGCAGCCCAATGAAACAGATACCGTTGTATCCTCTTTACTTGACTCAGATTATTTGGTGGAGCCAGAATTTTAACTGATGTCCTCTACCTGTAGATCCTGAGATTCCGTCATGGTGTGGTCACTCAATTACAAGTTGAGGACTGGGTACCCATCTAGGCTCTTACAGCAGGGGTTAGGAGGTTGGAGTCTGTTGACAGCGGCCCACAAGCTCCGGAAATTATAGACAAGCTATGTGTTTTCCCCAGGCAGAGTCCACAGCTTGCCTCACCTTTCCCTAGTGGTCATTGGCCTGAAAAGATACTAAGGACCTCTGATCTGCTGGTCACCTATGTTGCAGTCTGTCCGGTGCCACCTTCTTTAAGATGTAATTATAATTGTCACTCCCACAGTGGATCACGAGCTGTCGGTTCTGGAGGATTTCTACATTTCCTAGGCAGAAATGGGTCCATCAGTCGCGGCAGCACCGGTGGCCCCAAGGGCTCCCCAGGTTGAGATCATGCGTTCTTGGGTGACTGACCTCATGCTTCCCTTAGGAGCTCGAGGCCATGAGCAGATACACCAGCCCTGTCAACCCAGCTGTCTTCCCCCATCTGACCGTGGTGCTTCTGGCCATTGGCATGTTCTTCACCGCCTGGTTCTTTGTGTATCCTTTCCTGATCAGCCAGGGGACCAGATGAGTGATGGAAGAAACTGAGGAGAAGCCATGCTGGGTACACGTCCCTGCCAGCTTTGTGTGTTGAGTTGGGAGCAGGACAAGGCTAGCATTGGCCAAGGGCAGGTGTAGATGTAATTCCCCGTTCAGGTGAGCTCAGTTTGCTCTTGAGAGTGGAGGCTGGGGCTGGGGAGCTGAGGGTGGAAAGGTGGAATAAGGCGGGGTACCCAGGTGTCAGTGTAGCAGAAAAACCGTATCAATCCAAATGGAAGGTTCTGAGGAGTAGGCAACTTTTATGACACTAGCAGGCCGGGGAGCCCAGAGGCTCAAGTCACCAGCCCAGAGTCAGGTTTGAGTTCAGTTTAAAGAGGGTTTCCACCGGGAAGTACAAAGCGGATAGCAGGTTATTACATGATTGGTTACATGGAATACAAGAATTCTGTCATATGTGGTCAGGCAGGTTTGTACAGGGACATTCTGGGAGGGACGGGGATCTGAGAAAAGTAGGTGGAGTTGAAAGTGTCCTTGACTGGGCCAGTCTCCCCCAAACATGACGGGCCTGAAGCCCTAGACGCAAGTTGGAATCACTGCGTATTTTTAAAACACAAGCCGGATACAGTCAGTTTGACCTGCACACTGTTAAGGGGGAACGTCTGGGCCCAAACAGGCTCGATACGTGACAGACGGCGTGAGCACAGACACAGGCTGCAAACTGATTTCTAGCTTTTGTTACAATACGCCCACGAGTGTGCTGTTGCGTAAGCGTGCCCCTACATCAGCAGGTCTGAGGGCTGGTCCCAGCTCCATCGTCACGAGGCCTGAGCTCAGTGGGCCCCCTTTCTCCGTGGGCAATGGAGCGGTGGTAGGGGAGCAGTGTCCAAGTCCCCACGTCATCTCGTGGCCCCTCCCTGCTGCATCAAGGTGGAAAGCCCTCAGCCCAAACCTTCCTACCCCGCATGACACCGGACAGCTCCCAACACTCCGCAGTCCACCTGCTTCTCCTTAACAGCCCGGCCCAGCTATGAGGTCACCTCCACCAAGTACACGAGGGACATCTACAAAGAGCTCCTCATCTCCCTGGTGGCCTCGCTGTTCATGGGGTTTGGTGTCCTCTTCCTCCTGCTCTGGGTTGGCATCTACGTATGAGTCTCTGGGGTAAGAGCCATGTGTGGGGTACTAGCCTCTGGGTTCAACCACCTGGGTGGGTCCCCAGGTGCCCCTGCGCAGTGCTGGCTCATGGAGAGGGATGGGCACATGCGCCTTCCCTGCCCCTCGTGGGGATTTGAGCCGCGTGACCTGCTGGTCAGTGCTGCGGCTTCCACACTGTGCTGCTCCTCTGGCTTTGGGGTGCCCTGGGGGGGCTGTCGTACACTAATGACCTGGGGAGGGCTGCTGCATAGGGGCCACCCAGCAGGGCACAGGGACTCGCCCTGGTGACTGACCTCGGAAGAGTGTCAGTGCTGCCCGCCTCCCTGCAGCGTGGGCTTCCATGCGAGGAGGGGGAGAGGCTCTGATCTAGCTTTAACACCCCTCTCCTCTTTCAGGTACCCTGGAGGCTTCATTGAGTCCCTGCTTTTGTAAATTAATTTTTTACTGTTGTTAGAAGTGTCCCCCCTGCTGCTCACAATAAAGGCAGACACGTGACAGTCCTGTCCTGCGCCCCTTCTGTGGGGTGGGGACGGGCTTCCCCTTCCTGTTCCTCACCTGCCCTCCGAGGGGCTCCTGCGACGATGGTGTGGCTGACCTGCGGACGGGAGTCCAGGCTCCCCTTCGCACTCCCAGGATGCACTTGTCCAGGAGCCCACACAGCCCCTCTGTCCTGGAGTCCCAGCCTGTCACACAGCCACCCTCAGCGGGACCCAGGCCATGTGGTAGGAGCACAGGCAGGGGAGGCATAGCCGGGAGACTGGGCCGGGGAAGCCGGCCGTGTACCCGTCAGCCATGTGGCATCTCAAGCGCTGGTCCGGTAGCCCCAGCTTGTGTGGCCTTCCTCGCACCAGAGTGCCCAAGAAGAGCGGGAGGCAAGCTCCGATACAAAGCAGTATTTGTACATTTATTTATACATGTATATGCACTCGAGAAGAATGGGGAACTCAGGGCAGGGCAAGCGGGCCCAGAGCAGGTGCATGATAAATACGAGAGGACGGGAGTTAAGGGGGAGACACTGGCAGGCTGCTGGGGTGGTGTGCGGGGTCTGCTTGGGGAGGCCCTATGTACAGCCAAAGGGAGGGGACGTTTATCCGCCGCACAGGATAGGCAGTGAGGCCCCGGCGGTAGGGGGAGGTGGCCACTCACCTCGCCCACCCTGTATGCCTCGGGGTTAGGGCAGCTTTGGTCCAGCATTCACCCCCTCAGGCAGTGGGAGCTGCTAAAGGGCCTTGGGGGTGGAGGAGAGTCACTTTCCAGTTACAGGCTGAAGGGCCGCAGTCCAAGCTCCTGCACCCCCAGCACAGGGAGCCCCAGAGTCCTGCCCAGGGGCGGGGCTTGGCAGCTGTAAGGCACGGGTGGGCAGGGTGGCTTCCTGCAGGGCAGGGCAGGAGCCTGGGCCGCCCTCCAACCCCCAGGAACAGGGCTCAGGAAGATCCTATGTCAAGATGAGCCGCCACCCCCAGGTAAGTGCTTTGCGGGCCACGCGTAAGGGGCCCTCGCTCTCTGGGCTTCTTCAGAGCAGAGGGTCTGCCCCTTCGGAACACTGAGCAGGAGCAGCACACGCTGGGGCAAGGCAGGGCGCTCCAGGTACCACTCGGGCACAGCAGTTGGCACTCAAACTAGAACTTCTAGCCCACTCCTGCCTCTGCGTTCGGGGAAGGGGCGCTGCCCACCACCCCTCCTTGTGCCATTGCTCTGGACACAAGGCACCCACAAGGGGGAGCCAAGGAGAAGCCAGGGCCTGGTGGGGCAGGGCCAGGGCCTGTGTCTCCACAGGGGTCACCCCAGGGCTGCCCAGCCCTGCCCCTGCCCTGCCGGCTTAAGTTCTGTTGGTTGCCTGTCAGTAACTGCAGCGTGACGGTGCGCCCCCCAGGCCACTGCTGCTGGCAGGGATGCCCGCTCCTCTGCTCCGAAGGATGAGGTCGGCAGCACCACTGAGCCCCTTGCAGGACGCCCAGGCTTCCTGGGCCCTGGCTGAGCTGTAGAGGGCTGGGTTGGCTTCATCAGGCACCAGGTAGACATAAGGCACAGGCGCTTAAGGCGTAGGGTCCAGGTCCAGCATAATAGTCACCCCTCCACGGTGTCCCCAAGGACTCCTTGGGGCAGGCGCTGTCAGGCCCCAGCGGGACTTCTCTCCATGGAGGGCAGCGCAGCTCAGAGGCCACCGTGGTTGAGTTGGCCCTGCCCTGTCCCGAGGTAGCGAGCAGGGAGGCCGCGCCACTGTGAAGACTTTGGTCTCCCCAACCTGTCCCTGCAGGGCTGTGACAGCTACCAAGTGTGACTGCCGGCTCCAGTGTAACACTGCATCCAGTGAGGAGGGCCGTGCCCAGGGCCCCGGTGTAGCCGCCTCGCCGCTCAGGGACACAGGCGGTAGAAGTGGAAGTAGTAGTCTGTGGCCAGTGGGGCCTCCGCGCTGCAGTTGGCCTGGCCCTGGGCGGGAAGAGGGGTGAGTTGGCTCAGGAGCCCCTGCCGGCCCCACGCCTCCCCGGCCCACTAGAGGTGGGGTCTGGCTTACCAGCAGTGCCACACGGAAGTGGTAGGTGAATTCACGGGCAGACAGGATGGTGACCGGCCACTGGTGGGCGGTGCCCTGCAGAGAAGGGTGAGGGGTCACAGCCCCAGCCTGACGTGCCGCAGCCCTGCCACCACTGCTATGGCATCTGTGGCAAGTCATAAAGGAGAAGCAGGGAGCTTTGAAGGGCTGGGGGGGGCTGTGGGCCCAGCCTCCCTCTGCACAAGGCCCTGGCCCTGGCTCCCTTACCCTGCGCCCACCTGGGAACTGGCTCGCAACCCACCCTCCTGGTTACAGATGAGGAAACTGAGTCACTGGCCTAAGTCGCACAGCATGGCAGGGCTGGGTTCGAACCCAGGGCTCCCTAGCTCCTCCCTGGAGGCGTGCAGGCAGCCACGGGCAGCGTTCCAGCCTCCACTACAACTCTGCTGGGCCCCTAAGGGGAACAGCCCGGCCCAAGTCTGCTGCACGTCTGGCTGGGCACCCCAGCTCTGCGGTGCTTCCCGCTGCACCTCTGCCCTTGCCCGCACCCTCTTCTCTGGAGCACTTCCTCTGGAAGAGCCGTCCTTGGAGGCCCACAGCCCGAGTCTGTGCTACCCCTGTCGCACAGGCGGGAGCACGGGCCTGATGCAGAGGCCCCGGGAGGCCCTTGCTGAGTGGGCAGTGAGTGGGCGTGGACTCGCACGTTCTCCCGTGGCCAGGGCCCCAGCTTGCAGGTTTGGCCAGGGGACCAGGCCTCGGAGCCTAGGGCTCCTGTGCACCGCCCACTGAGCCCCGTGTCGCTGACACGCCCACCCTGGTCCTCGCCAGACAGGCGCCAACAGTGAGCAGAGCCAGGGGAGACGGACTCGTCCTGGCCCTGTGTTCCTTGGGTGCCGTCCAGGGAAGAAGGTCTGGGGCAGCGGCCACAGCTCCCCCTGCTACCTGGGTGTCCTGGGGTGAACGGGGAATCTGCGAGACGCCCCCCTCCTCACAGGGCTCCTCCACCGACGTCAGGCTGCACAGCACCACGGACACAGGCGTGGAGGAGCTAGGGAGGAGCAGGGTGAGCAGGAGGAAGGGTCCCTGCCCCCCGCCCCTGCCGGTCCCCGTCCCAGGTCCCACTCCGGCTCACTTCATCTGCAGGGTCAGGCTGAGGTGCAGTGGGGTGCGGCCGCTCACTGGGATGCGGTAGGTGAAGTTTCCGGGCCTGCAGGGCAGAGGGCGGCTCAGCCAGGCTTGGCTGGGGGGACAGCCCACCTCAAGGGGGGCTCCTACCGGGGAGGCTGGGGCGTGGCCCACCTGCAGGCATCCTTGGGGGCACAGTACTGGGTGGTGACAGGCATCGCGCTCTCCAGCACCTGGATGGAGGTCAGGGAGGGCCCTGGGTGTGTGGGAAGAGAGGCCGTTGGCGGGGCCAGGCATGAGGCAGGACGGGAGCGGGCAGTCCCCTCGTGGCCTGGTCAGCACGCACACCTCGCTGTGACTGTCGGTGGCCAGGGTCACCGCGTGCATCAGCCCGAGTCAGCCTCTGCAGAACCAGAGCCCAGGCAGCTGGGCCTCCTCTCCCCACCCCTTAGCGTCACACCGGCGGCCGTGGTCACCGTGCAAGGAGCACCGCCAACTGCTCTGTCCCCACCCGACAGCCACGGTGGAGCACACCAGCTGCCCCCACCCCCGCAGGCCCTAGTACACTGGCCAGGGGAGTGGGGACACAGGCCCACTGCCCTCTCAACCCCTGCCGGACCCTGTACTTGAAGGTCACACCCCCAGACCACAAAGGACCAAGTGCGCCCTGCACAGCCAGAGACAGGTGCCAGGCCAGACGAGACGGACAGTGCCCTTTCTCCTCCACACGTGCTCGGAAAACATCTCTGACGCCTCCTCCCCCAGGAAGCCTTTGGTCACCTCCCACCTCAGTCCCGTCCCTCAGAGCCTGGTCACCGCTGGCATCCACCTCTGTAAGCTCCCTGGGGGCAGCCAGTGTCCATGCTGCCTGTAGGCCCTGGCCCAGGAAGTGCTGCAGGGCCCTGGGTGTGTGGGAAGAGAGGCCGTTGGCGGGGCCAGGCATGAGGCAGGGTGAAGCCCTACTCCAGCCTGCAAGGCAGCCACCCTTTGGGCCTTTTTGTCCCTGAGCCGTGGAACGCACTAGTGAAGGTGACAGAGGCTTGCATCTGTGCAGGGCTGCTGCCCACACCCCCAGGGCAGCTCCTGGGCACCTGCGGAGCCCAGTTTGAGAAGCTCTGCAATTACAGACCCTCAGAAGGCTGGGTGTGGTGGTGCACAGCTGAATCCCAGCACTCTGGGAGGCTGAGGCAGGAGGATTACAAGTTCCAGGCCTGCCTGGGCAACTTCATGATTTAGTGAAAACCCACCTCAAGATAAACCAAAAAGGGCTGGGGAAAGAGCTGTGTTAGGCCCTGGGTTCAATCTGCAGTAGCACAAAAAGAAAACCCTGAAAACCTCCAAAGGGTCGAGGCTGGGGAGAGCAGGGGGCCCGTGCAGCGTGGTGACGAGGCAGCTGGGCAGACAGGGTGGACTCCACTGCGGCCAGACCCTGAGCAAACCCTTCCCCGAAGTGTCACAGGAGGGCTGGGTGAGCCACGCCGACTGCTGACTCACTACACACTCAGAGTGCGCTGTGACAGGCAGGTGAGGGCGACAGCCCTGAGCACCAGGCTGGGGGTGCGAGGAGGCGGGTACCTGGCTGGCCCCGGGCCGCAGGGGGGCTGGGTGCGGGGAGCCCTCGGCGGGCCCGGCCTCGGAGCCCGAGACCGGGGCTGTTCTTGGCCTTGCCCAGTCCTCCAGGAAAGGGCACCGCAGGGCTGGCCGCTGGCTCCATGGCCTTCGGGTGCTTGACGTGGCTGATGCCATTGGCTGAGAGGCCCCAGGACTTGGCTCTGATGTTGGTGACGGGTAGCGAGGCTGCCTGGCTGGGGCCTGTGGGCAGAAGCAGGGCGGGCGGGGCGGGGCTCTGGCACCTGCCTTGCTGTTTGAAGCCTGGCAAAGCCCCATCCGGTCCCTTCAGGTGGCTCGTAGGCCTCCTGTGGACCTCCCACCACCAGGTCTCTCCTCGCCCCGCCTTGGCGCTGCCCCCTGCCTGCCCGAGAGGTGCACCTGAGCGGTTGGTGGCCAAGCTGGGGCTGGGACGAGAGACCGGGGCAGGGCTGGGGCTGGCAGCACAGCAGACAACCGGGCAGGGCTGGCTGGGGCACAGGTCTAAGGCGCGGACGGCTGGACCTGGGGCCATGGGGCTGGGGGTCTCTGAGGAAGTGGGGATCTGCGTGAGCACAGAATACAGCCCCACACCTCCCATCCCACCAGCCTGGCCCGGCTCAGCCCGGCTTGGCACGCACCCGGCAACAGAGAGGGCCACAGGCCCGGCAGCCCGGTGGTCATGGGAGCCTGGCGGAGCTGCGTGGTCCCAGAGCTTTGGCTGGACCTACTGGGGAAGGCGGGAGCTCAGGGTTGGGGCCGTGGGGAGGCCAGGGCCGGAAGACAGGAGGAGGAAGGTGGAACGGAGGCGGGAAGGGCACACGGCCACACGTACCATGGGCACATGGCCACACTCCCCCCACCGCGTTGGGGCCGGAGCAGGGCCAGCAGACAGGACGTGGACACAGCAAGAGAGCTAAGTGCAGAGAGGCCGAGAGGGAGACAGGCACAGGGAGGAGAGAGAAGGCACAGTCAGAGGCAGCCGGAGCTGGGGGACATGGGGCGGAGGCCCAGGCCTGCCCTGGCTCCTTCCTGCCATGGAGCACGGAGCAGGCCTGCAAGACCCAGAGTCAGGAGGGGCTTGGGAGGTTGCCCCACCCAGGACCCGGCACACCCCGCAGGCTCGAGACCCAGCCTGAGCCCAGACGTACCCGTCAGTGTCCACCAGGTCCTCCTCAGCACGCAGGCTCAGCACGTACAGTGTGGACATGGACACCACGCTGGCAGCCACAGGACAGGGTGACTGTCAGAGCCGGAGCTGCTGACAGTTCCCCCAGGGCTCGGCACAGGGGCCCGGGGCTCCCCAGCCCCTTCCCTGGAGACCTTGGCCACAGCACCTCCCGTGCCACACCCCCAGAGCCCCCGGGGTGTCACCTGAAGGCCATGACCACCACCAGGGCGATGATGGTTCCCTGCAGGAAGCGCTGGCCCACACAGGCCTGGTCAGGGACCACTGAGGATGACTGGCGGGGGAGGAGGGCGAAGCAGAAGAGGGAGACTGAGGCGGCTGTGGCCCCCGGAGTGGGGTGCAGGAGCCCTGCCTCGAACCCAGCCTGCCCACTCTCACCTTGCTGGGCATCTTCGGGGGCCTCTTCTTGTGGGGGACGCTGCCTGCCCGGCTGAACTGGCTACCACTGTGGCTGCAGGGGAGGGCAAGCTCAGGCTGGGGTCCCAGGCTCCCCGCTGCCAGGACCCCCCGCCCTGCCCGCTGCTGCGCGCCCACCTGAAGGCGCCCGAGCTGCCGGTGGACTTGAGGCTGTCCAGGCGCCGCAGCTTGGCCAGCTTGTGGCTCCAGCGCTCCAGCTCGTCGATGCGCGTCTCCAGGTTGTCCGTGAGCTTGCACAGCTCCTTCACCGCGCCCACGTTCTCCATGAAGATGCGCTCCTGCGGGCGTGGCCCAAAGGCGCTCGGTGCGGGGGAGGGGAGACCCGCCTTGTGCACCCTGGGCAGCACACGGGCCAAGGCAGCTGTGCACGGCTCCCTGTCGATGGGGTCTGAGGGCCCCCTCCCTCTCTGCCTGGGACCCCGGCAGCCTGCCCACCTTGTTCACCACTAGGAAGTTCTCCACGGTCTTCCCATTGGCAAAGACCACGTCCCCGGTGTCCCTCACAGCCTCGGGCAGGATCTCCTTCACCTCCTGGGCGATGACACCTGTGGGCACCTCAGACAGGTGTGTACTGGGGCAGGGTATGGGGGGGACTGTAACCAAGGGTCCCTGGGGAAAGGGTGGCTTCTCAGGAAGTGGGGGCCCATATCTCTAGGGGCCAGGAATTGGACTTCCGGATCAAGGGGTGAAGTTCCAGAGCTAGAGGAGGAGCCCCTGGGAGCAGGGAGCCAGGATCACGTGGGACCAGGGTGCCAGGGCCCCTACCAGTCTCGGGTGCCGTGGCCTCAATGCCTGCGCTGGCGGCGAACTCAGGCTTGTAGCGGTAGTGCACCAGCCGCATGCGCGAGATCCGCTTCAGCTGCTCCGTGGTGTCCACCTTCGGAAACGGCCAGCCTGAGCCCAGCAGGCAGACCGGGCTGGGTGTGGACAGGAGACCCACCCTCCGTCCAGGCTGAGGGTACCCCAACTCTGTCCCTCTTCCCCCGGCCCCGCCCACCTCCTGTACGAGCTCCTTGGCACGCAGGTCTGAGGGGTGCAGCAGCGAGCCCATGACTTTGACGTTGCCGTGCACCACCAGTGCTTCATCCGGCCGGTCGGTGTTGATGCCCACGCGGCCATGGTGGAAGACGGTGTCGGGCACCTGCGCCCTCTGCCAGAGCACATCGCTGTCGCTCTCAAACTGGCCTGGGTTGGAAGCCTAGGTCAAGTTGGGGCTGGGTCAGTCCCGGGAGGTGGGGACCTGCAGGGCCCTGGGAGGGGGAGCCCCAAGTCGCCTCTCCAGGACCCGCCAGGCTCCTCACCTGCCGCCCAGGGGAAGCCATCCCGCCCGTGGCGACAACTCACAGCACTGTGGCCTCCCTCCTAGGAGGCTCGAGTCTGCACCTGCGCGCTACGAGGAGACTCCAGGCCAGACACCTCTGGACCCCACCCCAGCCCTGCACCCTGACCCTACAGCCGTCGCCCCACCTCCGTCAGCCCTGGGTGCAGCGGGAACCTCACCCGCACGATGATGCGCTCCGAGATCTGCGCGGCCAGCGTGTAGTTCTGGTTCTGGGCATGGGCCTGGAGCGCCACCACCAGCATGAAGTACCTGGACACATAGGCTAGGGCACTCGGGGTAGGCTACCCGGATACCTGTTCTCTCCCTGCAGCACGGGGCGCCCCGCGGGCAGGGCCCGCATGTCCAGTAGGGAGCAGATGTCCGGCGACCACTGCCTCCGACCCTCCATCCCCAGGGTGGGCAGGGCTCTG